CGGAGTTCTGTGCTAATATTTTTGTTTTCATGAAAAATTTAAAAACACCACTCTCGATCCCCACCACAAAGAATACAAAAATATTATGATAAAGAAACTAGATATATTTCAATCCCTGACCTGGAGGTGGTGCTTCAATTTTTAAAAAAGAAAGTTGGAACCAAAAATGCTTTAAAAGCTACCTCAAAAAGTGCATGTAAGACTCTGCCCACGTAATTCTCCTTTTTACAGGGTGGACCTGTTTACGGATTCTGTCCAGACATTTTCATACGTTTCCAAAAATAACTACAGCTGAGTTGCACACCCGCGATACGAGGCGCCCTTAGTTCTGAGAACATGGTGGCAGGCACAGACGAGGCGCAGAACGAAAGGTGTCAGGAAATAGAAGCTACACTGAGTACGTGACAGGCCGGGCCTTCCTGGAAGAAGATGACGTGGCAGGTTTTTCTTCATGGCCATTGAGTGGCTCTGAAACATTTCCGGTTGAACCCCGTCAGGCTGCTCCGCCGCCTCCTTCCCCGCTGAGGGGCCTCTGTGGTCCTCACACAAGTCACAGGGCCAGAGGTGCTAAGAGTGCCCGACTGCCCGGCAGACCCAGGGAGGCGCCGTGTCGGGGCCCTCGGCAGCTTTCTCTTATTCCCAGCCCACTGCACTTCTCTGCTCACAAAGTCCCGTTCCGTCTTAGGTGTCAGATTGGTGCTCTCGTGAACAGGCCTGAAGGACTGACATACCTTGTCCCCCGCCAAGATGCAGTTCAGTCAGCAGAATGAGGCCCCTGGGCTCGCTGAGTGCACTCGCCCTCAGTGGAAACTCGGACACGCCAACATCTCACCCCTCCCTCTTAGAAATCCTGACTTAAATCATGCATGTGCCCTGTATTCCCGTGAGCGACGCAGGAAGACCGTGTCCAGGGTCACGCTTACCTTGCAGATGCGAGCGTGCCTCGCTGTTTCATGTAGGCTTTCTCATTCTAGACACCCCTGTTCTTACCACCTCCCTCCTCTCAAGATCACTGCAATAGAGCAGTTATCGAGGGCAAAAAGCGTGTTTTCCCCAGCACAGAGGAGATGCTAAACAAACACCACAGCCCAATATAAGCAAGTGCGTCGTTAGCAGAACGAGCTGTGCTCCATGCTCACGGGCCAGCTCATGTTGCCCGCCCTGCCAGGACACGGGCCCGCATACGGAGGCTGGGGGAAACACGTCTGTGATCACAAGCCCTCTGCACGTAGTAGGTCTTCAGGAAATACCAGTTGGCTGCCTGCCGCTCTGAGCCTTGTACTGGAAGAGCACTGGTTCGGCTCAGTTTCCCTGCTGGGCTGACTGGTTAGGTGGAAGTTGGTGGCTGGTCTGACATTACCTCCCACACCCCACCCCCAGTGCCAGCAGCTGTCCTGATGCAGGCCTTGACTGGTCCAGCCCTGGCGCAGGTTATCCCAAGAGTATTCTGATCCGCGGTGAGATGAGAACTTCCCTGCTGCCCGAGTTGGCGGATCTGCCTTCCGATCTTGTCACATGTGCGTGTGGCCCTGGGGCCCGGAACAAGCCCCTCCTCGCCATCGCAGACAACTTGCGTCTTCTGGGCTGGAGTGTCAGCCGTGCTCTTGTGTGGGTGGCAGGCGGGCCTGTGGGAAAGCAGCTCATTCCCAACTGCGGAACCACGGACTGCTGCTGAGACCGCCACTGGGCCCACCTAGCCACGGGGCCTGCGCCGTCCTCCCTGCCTGCCCTGCCCGTGGGATACTTGGTCTTTGCACCAGAACAGCGGTTCCAGGAGACTTCCAGGACATGCCTGGTGCCGAGGGCAGTGAGAAGCCAGTTTCCAGAGTCCTCCTGAAGAAGTTGCACCGTGTCCTGCTCGGGCTTTCATCAGTGAAGTGGCTGAATCTTCGCAATTGGGCTGCCCCCAGGGCCGGGTGAGTTTTGGAGCCTTGGGAAGGAGAGGCGATTTGGAGGGAGTCAGAGGAATGCTGCTTGCTGAGTCCAAGACCAGAGAGGGGGTGGCCGTCTTGTAGAATTACCGCCTTGAGGAGCCCTTTCGGTCAGTGTGGCGAGGCCGCCTTGTTACTGGCCGCAGGTACTAAGGTACGCGCCGATGAGAACTGGGATGGGGTATCCCCTTTCCTGCTTTCTGGTCTGACGTTGCCAACTCGGCACCACTGAAATGCACATCCATTTGAGGCTTTGTTGAGATATAGTGTCGGTCCTACCCACAGCCCTGCCCCGCTTGAGGGAGCCCAGGCCTCCTTAGACCTGGCTCTTGGGCCAGGAGGCTGTCCCTGACACTCTCCTGGGGGTTGTTGGCACAGCAGCGCTAGCACGGCCAGTGCTCCCTCCTGCTGCCATGTCTCGGTCGTGGACTTTCCAGAAGGGCAGGTGCACATCCCAAGCAGCGCTGGCAGCCGGCCCGCGGGCCCCTGGGGGCTTGCCTACCTGGTGATCGGAGGTGGGGCACGTCTAATAAGCAGGCGTTTGCTAGACTTTGGCTTGGACAGAGGACGAGGAGGCCCGCAGCAGGGCTAGAGACCGGGAGGTGCAGACCTCGCTGACCAAGGCTAAGTTCATCTGGGACTGAGGTTGACACCAGGTCCTTCTTGTAGAGACTGCATGGCTGGCCCGGGAGGCAGAGTCAAATCCAGGGTCTGTCCTGTACTCCAGCCTCATTTCCCTGTCTGTGAAGTAAAAATGGTGTCCCTGCCTTGGAGGGTCACTGTGAAGGCCCCAGGAGAAAAGGCTGGGATGTGCCTGCGGGGGTCCAGGCACTCCCCATGCATGACACGGGCCTTGTCGTTGATGCGATGTCCTTGTCACTACCAGCTCCCCAGGGCTGCATGTCACTCAACTCCTGTCCTGATAGGACTGGGGCCAGTTGGGGTCCAGGATTGGACATTTGACTGGATGTGAAGTGGGCGCCGTCGCAGGCCCTAATCCAGTGAGATGCTGACTTTGCTGAAACCTGTGTGACTTCAGATTTTTTAAAAAATTATTTCTTCATTTGACCAGAGAGAAAGTGAGGGGGAAGTACGAAAGCAAGTCGCCAGGTCTGGGACTCGAACTGTGGTTGGCTGTGTGGGAGTCCAGTACCTTAACCACCACACCACTGGCCGGCCCCACAACTTCAGATTTTAGTCCCCACATTTTGAGAGCCCTTGGGAGTGTCTGGCAGGTGTTTAGGCCAGCTGTGGTCATAAGTCATACGAGAGCAAAGGAGAGGAGGTCCCCAGCTGGGAGAGCTGTCCCCTGTCCTGGCCCTCTGTGCACTGAACGACCAGTGGACATTGTCTCATGAGGAGGAGGAGTGACTGGGAGGGGGGCCCGGGTCCTGACCCCCTTGCTTTACAGATGCCCAGCCGAAACACTGAGCGGTGGGTGGTGGACGAGGAGGACACCACGCTGTGCCTGCATCACTGCTGCAGCCTGGCTCCCTGCTGTGGCTGGGCGGGGAGGGCAGGACTTCCCAGGTGACCCCTGTGCTCTGCCCTCTTCCTTCTCGGTTGGCCCAGGGTGCCAGGCTGCTGGGGACTGTGCAGCACCTCCCTTGTTGCCTGGGCAGCAAACACATGAGTACGTGCTGGCAAATGAAAAGGCCGTTGGCCCTCGAATCCCAGATGGTGGACCACAAGTGGTGAGCTGGCGGGGTCCTGGTGCAAGGCTGAGCACACCACAGACGGGCCGCAGCCTGCCAGGCACGGGCTGCAGCCTGCCAGGCCAGCGTGATGTGCCCTCACTGTGGCCTGCCCTGCAGCATGGCCCTTCTTGCCCCGAGACTGAGCAGGTGCCATGATGCTCAAGAACCAGCTGTTTGGTTCTGCCAGTGCCACTGGGGTCTGAGACGGTGTTGCCTCCACCCTCCTGGGCCTGGGTCTGAGACGGCATGCCACCTCCACTCTCCCCTCCTGGGCCTGGGTTTGAGACAGCTTGCTGCCTCTATTTTCTCCTGGGCCTGGGTTTGAGATAGCTTGCTGCCTCTATTTCCTCTTGGGCCTGGGTCTGAGATTGTGTGCCTCCTCCATCCCTCCTGGGCCTGGGTCTGAGATTGCATGCCTCCTCCATCCCCTCCTGGGCCTGGCTCCAGGCTTTATGGGCAAGCTCCTCCCAGGGAGCAGGGCCTAGGGACAGCGGCTGCTCTGGACTGTCCACTCATGGAGCAGTCAGGGCCGACCCTGCATGCGGGGCATGCTTCAGCCTTGCCCACCTCTGCTTGTGATGTCGAGTCTGTTGACTCAGAATGGATTCTTATTTTGTCAATTCTCTGTCATTTTGTCTCTGGAAACAAAATGAGAAAAATGACTCTTGAAGTCCAGAATTTAATCTCTAGGTCGATCCCAGAAGACAGTGGAAGAGAAAGACTTCCTAGGGAGCAGGTGGCCGTGGGCCTGGCCTGGAGTGGGTCCCAACACCCAGTAGAGCTGCAGTCACCTGTCTGTGAAATCAGAGGAGGTGTTGTCTCCACTGTGGGACCTCGGCCAGTGGCCTTGACGCCCACTTCCTGTGACTTGGTTTCCTCATCCAGCAGATGGTAATAAGAATATTCCATTCATAGGTGTTCGTACGTCATGAGGACTAAATGAATTCCTGAGAAATCCTGAACTTCACCTAATAGCTTTGTTGTCGAAAATGGTCTTGATGTGGCAATTTTGAAGCAATTTTATACTTTTTGTAGCTTAAAGCAAACAAGTGATGCTGGTGTTGGAACCAGATTCTCACTGTGGTAAAAGAGAGGTGTGTGTGGACCCAGGGAGGAGGAAGAGCACTGTGTGTTGCACCACAGTGGCAAGACCACGGGGAGCTGGTGATTTTAGATGTACTTACGTGTTCGTGTTCTCGCTATGTCCCTGAAAGGACACAGGACAGCGACATCCATCGTGGCTTCCAAATACCGTTTCCCACCGAACAGAGCTTATTAAAGAAAGATGACTCCAGGCTGACTTCTTTGGAGAAATGAAATAGGAAAAGTAGTGGTGGCCCAGTGGGATTTGCACGCAGACACAAGAGTGGTCAGACTGATGGAGCCACACCAGGTTGGTCTGAAAGGGCTCCCTCTAGCCAGTTGTTTTCTTTTTTTCCCCAGGATCATTGGACTATTTTAAGTTCTTTGCATTTCCCTATAAATGTTAGTTACTGATATTTACAAAGAGCCTGTGGGACCAGCAGTTGGCATAATGGTTATGTCGCTGGACTCCCACGTAGTCGACCGTGGTTTGAGTCATGGACCCAGCGGCTTAAACTCACGCCCGGCACGTGGGCGTGTGTGCCCAAGATCCCAAGAGGAGGGTGGAGGAGAAGGGATTGCGGCGTGGCCATCCCCCCCCGGGGGGGGTGATTTCTCGCTTTCTGTCTCTCTGTTTCTGTCTTTCTGGCGAGCACATGTGCCCTATAGCAAAAACCTCTCCAAAAAGTAAAAATAAAATGAAAATAAAAATAATTTGCAACCACCAATAAAAGATTCACACAGCGGCCATCAGTGGATGCCAAAACCACATGGTGGAAATGTGTTAGGGACAGGATGTGTACGGTGTCCAGTTGTACTGTGGATTACTGAGTGGCTACGAAGGGGGCGTCACTGCAGTGGGGATCTGGCAGACGGTGCCTGAGCCTACACGTGTCGTCAGTAACGAGCTCATGCTGTCCTGACCAGACACGCTCTCCCTAAACCCAGTAACGACGGATAAGGAACAATCAGCAATCAGTAGTTCATGGTCATAAGTAAAAATTTAGCTCATAGGACCACCTGCAAAACAACTGGTGTGCATTTCCTCCAACTGCGTCTGTGTCCTCCCCACCACCAAACCAGTTAAAGGAGACTCAGGAGACAGGATGACCAAACGCAACGTGCTATTGTAATTGGCTCTTGGATTTAAAAAATAAATAAATAACTATAAAGAACTTAATTAGAGAAATTTTGTTATGAAGCCAATCTTATGTCAGTGTTCAATATCTCGAGTACGGTCGCGATATTGTGCTTCCTTATGTAAGAGCACATCGTTACTAGGAGAGACAGCTGAGAGTACTTAGAGATGTAATATAGCAGCTGCAGCTCTCAGCTGGTTTGGTAAAATAAAAGTAAATAATGTGTCTGTATCTGTGATAGGAATGAGGAAGGGAAGGAGAGAGTAGCAGAACGTTAGGAGTCAGTGTATCCAGGTGAAAGATATCTGGGTATTTGTTTCATAATATTGCAGATTTTCTATAGGTTTAATTGCTTTTTAATTTTTAAAAGAACTATTTTTTATTAGTATTATTTTTAAAGTTTGCCATAGAGCACGTGCGCTCACCAGAAAGAGACAGAGGGGGAAAATGGTCTGGACTCAAACCATGGTCGGGTGTGTGTCAGTCCAGTGCCTTAACTACCATGCCACTTGTTGCCCCTAGTTTGAATTTTCCATAATAGATTGTTGAGGGAAAATAAGAAGAAGAAAGGGGTTGAAGATAGAGTGTAGACAAGTGTTTCAAGGAGCTTTGCTGTTTAGAGAAGCGGAGAAGGGTGGGAGTAGCTCGGGGAGAAGGTGAGCGTAAAAGTATTTGGCTTTAAGATACGAGAAACCTGCCCTGTGTGCAAGCCGCCGTTTACCGATGCCCGGCAGCAGGAAGCCTGGTGATGGGGAGAGAAGGCTGAGGGTGGCATGTCTGTAAGTAGGCAGGGGCTGGCATCGGTGAGATGCTCCGTAAATTTACTGACAGACCGAGCCCAGGCACTGGGGCACACTTCTGAGGTGCTGCTTTCCGCAGGTTGGGTCCACGTGGGAGGCCAGGTTCAGTTCCTGGTCCCACCTCTGCGCTGGGCATAGACCTGTAGCTGGTGTGCAGCTGTAGGTCCCAGCGACTCAGGAACACTGAGGCAGGAAGCTGGCAACAAGGAGACCCTGTCACTAAAATAAAGTAATTGGGGGGCCAGCAGGTGGCGTGGTAAAGGCACTGGATCCCCACGTGACTGACCACGGTTCAAGTCCTGGACCAGTGGCTTGCTCTCTTTTCTCTCTCTCTCTCTCTCTCTCCATCTCCTTCTGGGAGCACACATGCCTTATAACAAATTAAATAATATCCACAAATAAAATTAAATAATTCTTTTGAAAATTCCCCACGTGACTGACCACGGTTCAAGTCCTGGACCAGTGGCTTGCTCTCTTTTCTCTCTCTCTCTCTCTCTCTCCATCTCCTTCTGGGAGCACACATGCCTTATAACAAATTAAATAATATCCACAAATAAAATTAAATAATTCTTTTGAAAATACTCAATGAATATTGGTTTTCATTCTTTTTTTTTTTTTTGGAGAGGTTTTCGCTATAGGGCGTGTGCGCTCGCCAGACAGACAGAGAGAGAGACATAGAGACAGAAAGCGAGAAATCACCCCCCAGGGGGGATGGTCACGCCGCAATCCCTTCTCCTCCATTCTCCTCTCGGGATCTTGGGCACGCACGCACACGCGCCCGGCGTGAGATTTAAGCCACCAGGTCCGAGACGCGAACCGCGGTCGACTACGTGGGAGTCCAGCGACATAGCCATTACGCTAACTGCTGGTTCCCTTGGTTTTCATTCTTAGACTAACCTCATGCAATAGGTACTATTATTATTATTAAACAAAAATACATTGATTTGGTCTTAGTTAAAATAAATTTTAAGATTCAATACTAATGTAAATATTCAAATAAATCTATGTAAATTTATTTGAATTTTCTGTACAAGTGAGAAGATATTAGGAAAAAATTTATTTACTAGTGATTTATTGGGTCATCAGAAAAGTTATGTCATGTTTTTGCGTAGAAAAATACGTCATGACTTTTCCAACGACCTAATAAAATCATGAGAATACTTACAATTATGGAGCCTCGATCTTTCGTCATTTTTACAAAGATGAAGCAAAAGATGCCTCTTGAGATTCTTAAAGCAGAAATCTTTTGGAAGATAGCCACTGTGGAACATTCGCGATGGAATGTGTTTTTAGGGGTGGGATCCCTACGCTGTAAGTGAACGTTAGTCTGACCCAGGTTGGGATCACGGAGGCCTCATGCAGGCCTCAGTGCAACCACTGTTTCTGATTTTCCGTTCCGCCATGTACGAAGTAGTGTTGCTTTTCTTTCTTTCTTTCTTTTTTTTTTTTTTTAAAAAAAGGTCTCACATATTTATTACTAAGCCAACCTACCAGGGCAGAACTTAGAAACAAAGAGAAGCGTCGTTTTTTGCAATAAAACACCCCCACGTGTCCGGGCAGTGGTGCCCGTTTTCAGCGTGATGTGTGAGACGTGGAGACCTCGGTACAGCACACATACGTGAGCCAGCTGCTGTCCAGTTCCTCAGCGGCCCAGGTTTCTCTCCAGGGTCTCCTCTTGGCGTTGTACCTGCTTTTATTACCAGTTTTCATTCGAATCCACTGGGGAACAGGATGATTTCGCTTCTGGTTTTTGGCCAGTATACACGTGATTCTGAAATCCCGTGAGAAGACAGGGCGAGGAGCCGAGTGGCCGCACACCAGGACAGCGGAGGGCGGAGAGCGAAGAGCTGCGGTGGCGTTTCTTTATGGCCTTAATGTCGTTTCCTGACGGCGGGCGGCACTGAGCACTTGTGCTATGGACACTCAGATGTTGTCGTTTGTGATGTGTCCGTTCAACCCTGGGTCTGTTTTTAATCCTTACCAGTTTGTGCAAGTGAAATGGAGTAGTGGCTCCGTCAGATCTGAGCCCACGTCGAAGGCGTCGGGAGTGTGCCTTCCCCGCAGCCAGTCAGACCCACGGGCCTGACCGCTTTCCTGCCCGCCCAAGGCCCTCTGCCACCGCGGAGCCTCACCCTCGGTGGCCCTCACGGCTGCACGAGGGCCGTCTGCCAGCACCTCCTCGTCCTCCGGTGCCCATCCCCGTGGCCGCCGCAGCGCATTGCCAGGGGTCTGTCTCGCAGCGGCGGGCACAGCACGAGGGTGCCTGCACAGGAGCGGTGCCCGAGAGCACAAGTTCAAGTCCGTCTGCTCAGGAGGCTGGCTCCGAAACACCACGGGCCTCAGCGGGCCGTCGTTGGCACTAACTGCACACACGCGCGAAGTGCCCGCATTGTACTGTGCATTAAAAAACAGTGAAGATACGTCAGCTCTGCCTTCCATGGAGTTACGACGGATTCCCACTTTCTATGTTACATGTTTTGCAGTGCTTGAATTTTTATGCGATTGCTTTACCTTTGTTGCTAAACACACAAAAAAAGCACTTAGTATTTCCAGCAGCAGCATCCTCATTATCAGGAGACTTCCTGAACAAGTGAGTAATTTGAACAGATTTTCGTGTCAAAAGAGCCTTTGGTATTGTGAAACTCCAAACATTGTTTTCCGTCTGTTTTAACATGACTAGTTCTATATTAAGCAAGACAGAGGATCTTTTAATGTGGAAATTGGTGTAAAAAAAAAATGAAACACCAGGTTGCTTTTGGCCCACTAGGCTGGGATTATTTTTAGCTGTTGCCTTACGAAGTGTTGGCAGAGGCCTGAGGGTGTTATCGAGGAGCAGTGGCGGCTGCGTCTATGAAGCACTTGCTGTATACTGATCAGTTCTTGCTGGGTGCTCTACACACAGGGCGTGTCCCACCCTCCCAGCAGCCCCAGAAGGCAGGTCTGTGCTCACGCTCGGAGCAACCCGGGGTGCAGGAGGGTGGGGAGTCCACCAAGTAGCAGAGCTCAATTTACAACGCAGACCGCCTGACTGCATCCCACATGCGCCCGCTGTAACCACAACCCACTCTGCTCTCCTCTCGGCCTCAGATCTGCGATACGGTCTGTCAAATCCTAGACACTGAACATGCTTTAAAAAAAATCCAAAATTCTTGTACTTAAAAAAAGCTTGTCCTCAAGTCACTCCTTCATCCAGTTGTCCTTTTAATGCATTTGCAAAATGTGGGTGTGGCTGAGCCAGCAGCCCCAAACCCTCCCCAGCGCTGAGCTCCGGCCCGAGCTCCGCCCGGCTGGTCTCGGCAGTTGCAGCCACAGTGCGCTATTCACAGCCCAGGTGCTTCTCCGGACCACAGTCATCTCAGAGCCGCCTCGGG